CTTCAGCGGCTTAAATTTTCTTTTTGATTTAGGACACATGCTATTCATTTCCTCAGGGCAGCATACACTTCTCTTGAATAACATTAAAAATTTGAATTTGGGGGTATTATTGGAGAAGACAAGATGAAGGAGTACATTGTGTCATCAGCATTTAAAGTTATTTCCCTTTTTTACTTGGTATCGTGTTTGGCAAGATTCTCTGGAGATGTTTGAGTTCTGACTGTACCTTACTTTGCTAGCAGACTCTCAGTAATGGCTGCTTGAAACCGCTTGCCTATGAAAGTGTCTTCTGTGTTAAATTAAAATGCCGTTATTTGAAGTATTGTGTATTTAATCCTGTGAAACATATTTGACTTTTGAATCTTTGAAATAAATGAGCAAGTATTCTTGTCAAGTATCTCATGTAAGGCTGATATTTTGTATTAAACGATATAATGCAGAATAAGTGTTCACTTTGTTGTAATCCCATGAGGCAACTTCAGCAAATGCAGTTATCTACCTCTTTCCCATCAGCACTCCCAGCATGCATTTCATTACATCTGATCTATTTTAGTACAGTTGCTTCCCCCTTCTTTGGAAATGAAATAATAGCAGTTCATCTTAACAACTCAAAACATGTCATTTATCTGCTGATATGATCTGAGGGAGAAGGGAATGCAGTGTACGAACCAAAATGGATAAATTGCATATTACAGGGTCAACACTGTATTTAGATGAAAAATAGATCATCTCTTATGCACAATTCTGTTCTATTTTTAACATTGATTTGTATTGTATTGAAAATTATGCTTTGCTATTTAAATTAACCACTGTCTGTTACTGCTCTTTTTCTCTCACCTTAAAAGAAAGATAAAGTACGCATTCTCACTTCCATCTTCAGTCTCATCCTCAGCACATCATTTTCTTGTTGCTTTTTGCAGTGGTTTTGAACGTGTTTCTGTAGCAGCTGAGGAGCCTTTCAGCCATAATGGAAGATTAGTTTAATCTCCTCCTTCACTTTGGTTTAAGAGCCACATGGTTTTATTTGAGTGACTGGCTGTTGTTGGTCAGCCTGCAAAGGCAGAAAGAGTAAAATAAATGCAGCTGAAAGGGTGGTTTTTGGTTTCCAGAGCAGCCCTGGAATGTGGGTCTCTAATGTCCCATTTTACCAATTTGTGGTTCCCCTCTAACTGGTCTCGGCTACGGACATGGCGGGTGCGGGGGCCTATATTTTGTGACTCAGAACACTTCTTGAAACGGTTGGCTAAGGCTGCAGTCGTAAATAAAAGATGAAAAGGACTGCGAGTTCTAAGTTCCAGGAAAAGACGGAAGATTGTGTTGTTGTTTTTTTCCATTCAAAATACTGAGCAATTCCAATTTCAGAAAACAATCGGATGGCTTGTCTTTGCTGGTACAAAAAGAATTAGCATCTCAGGTGATAGGTCCACCCACAGCCCTAGAGAAAAAGTGGAGAGTCCGAACACTTTAAGAAGAGTTCATGTGGATTTTGCAAGTTCATGAAACTACGGTTCTATTTCCATCAATCTCAAGCACACAAAATGTAGAACATCTTTTTTTCTGCCTTTTTAAGTTTACTCACAAATATAAGCCTTTCTTTTTAATTAAGTAACTGGACAAATGGTGGTGAAGACAGGATGTTATTTAAAGACTTTGATTAACATCTTGGGATTTGATTTTGAACCTATACAGTTAGTAAAAAAGCATCAGCCATTCAATCTATCCAGGTCCATCTCCTCATGCTCTGGTCTTCCTATCTTTTATTTTTTTATCCCAAGTAGCTGCTGTATACTGTGAGTGATGTAGATCATTATATTAATGTTAACCAGCAGGATCTGTTCCTGTGATCATAATGATCAGACCTTGAGCGGCATGGTGGCGCGCTGATTTGCATTACTGCCTCACAGCACTGGTGTGGAATTATGGACTTAGGGTGCTACTGTATCTGCATGGAGTTTCCAGTGGGTGTTCTGGTTTTATCCCCATAGTCCAAAGGCATACTGGTAAAGTAGGTTAATTGGCTTTGGGGAAAATTTTCCAAGCTGTGTGTCTGCGTGTCTGCGTGTGCCCTGCGATGGGATGGCATCTTGTTCAGGGTGTGTCCTGCCTTGCATTTTCCAGGATAGGCCCTGGTTCCCTCATGACCCTGAAATTGAATGGGTTAGAAAAAGAATAGTTGGATGTCCGCACTTCAGACTTTTGTCCTAGTCTGTGCTAAAACAGAAAACAAGATATTAGATGTAAGCTGGATAATCAGCAGGTTTCTAACAAAGGTTTTGACAGAAATGGTAAATTCACAATAAAAACTGAACTTATAGTAAAACGTATTGCACATGTTTACATTAAGTACAGTAACACATTGGCCTCACCTTTTGGTCAGGTTTAAATACAGAATAGATTGCTTATTTACGCTCTTAACAGTTTTTGCAGTTTTACAGTTTTTAGTCAAGTGGTAGCAGGAATAGGACTCAGTAATTATCACTCTGGTCAGTTAATTTTCAAGTCTGGAGTATTTCTGGCAAACTGATCCATCAAATAGAAGAAATTTCAAGGAATCATCCAAAAGAAAACCTTGACATCTAATTTGTAATGCTCTGTGTCACAAACAAAAAATAAATGACAAACAAGGTTTTCATTGATCAATTCTTATGCTTGACATCAAGAATTTGAAGACAAAACTTTTATAATTCTTCCATGTGTTGGCTGCCAATGTAGATTAGAGCTGAATACTTTACCATACTTTTTTTAGAGCCCTGGTGAACAAAAGACAAACCCTGTTGTAGCTGCTTGGCCATCAGGGGAGCTAATTAGCCAATAACACATCTGAGACAACTTGAGCTTATAGAGAAAAAGAACATTGAACACCTGGCCAGACTAACAACTGACCCCTCTAGTAGAACTCACTGTGAAACTCTTGTTACAGAACTGTAGCATCTCTACATCAATGGGTGTTTGGTGCAGAGATCCAAATCCACCCCTAATAATGAACTACAGTATATACAGTAATACTGTATGTAGGGTTAAAAAACGTAAGTAACCATCTCTTATATGACAAAAGTACTAATCTATTGCTTTAAGTTTAAATAACATTAACCTAGTAATCACAGTAATCACAAACTTAGAGTAATCAGTTTAAATAAACAACACAAATCCCTTTTCTGTGTCCAGCCTGCACTGTCTCTGCCTCCGTGATTAACACGCCGCACTGTAATGAAAAGGGCAATAAAACTGTCAGGGAGCCTGTAAAGTCGTCTCCAGCCTGTCATTCCACATGCTGCTGACACAGAACCTGGAGCGTTCTGTACAATATAAAAACAAGACCACACTGAGATGTGCGTGCTAGGTAGTGGGTACTTGGGCAGGGGTCGGGAAGAGGTTCACTCACAGGCTAGATTTGTCTCATGATCCTAGTCTGTTGTGGTGCTGATTGGAAAGTTGCGGTTACAAGCCTTTGACCCAGTTTCATCCCACTATGCTCTTCTTTCATCTAAAACCCAGTTGGCCAGACTGAATAACATTTGTGAATAAGTGAATTTATTAATGTTAGATTCACAGATTTGTACACCCTACTGTATTGGATGAGTTTTTGTATTGTTTTCTTTATACTCTTTGTTGTATTATTTATGGCCTTGTAATGTTGTATTACTGTTGGTAGCCAGTCACTATGCGTTTTTTCTTTTTAAGTTTGTTATGCTTTACTTACTGGCTGGTGAAGACTTATACTCTATTGCTATGCAGTGTATAACCGCTGCCCTGTCAAACCTGAGAGAATGGAAGCAGCAGTTTGGATTATTGAGGCTATGATTGAGCCTGTCAGGACATTCATTTGTTTCTGATAAATGGCAGGACTGGCCAACAGAGACAGAATATCACCAGTCCACATGACCATGCAAAAGTCTTTTTCATTTTTAGTGGGGTAATTATAGAAAATGACTGTCATAATGTAACCTTACTGAAGGATAGCAGCTTTTTTCTTGCCAGTAATAATATACTGTTATATTTTTTCTTTGGAGTTTACTATATAGATTAATAGAAATAGAATGTATAGTGACCAGAATGTCTTGGAAAGTCTATTACCATTGTCCAGCTGAAAGATGAGTTGTTTATTTTTATTTTTACTTAGCATAGGTCTCTGTCTTAATGGGCATCTACCAAGAGAAAGTTGTTGATCCTTGTGTTATACTTGTCTATACTGTACTTGTGTTATGAGCATGGCTCGTAGGCACTATTGTGTCAGCAGGCTTAGCACTTGTGTTCAAGCAGTGTAAACTGGACTTTAAAGAGTCTTTAAAGAGAACTGTCCAGTCTAGTGTGATGAGGAGAGGTATAGCCAGAAATATTATTAGATCCTCTTTTAATATATGGAGAACTGTTTCAACCTCCCAACTATCAATTGCAAAGACATCGCGACTGATCTGTCCAGTAACACAGCCCAGTTCATAAGATACATTATGAATCATTAACTTAGGTTTTTTTTACTAGCTACTAATAAGACTTTGTTTGTCTTATTTGCTTTTGATTGAATCAGAAACAGGACTAAAGGTCTGAAAAATATATTTTGGTTTTGACACATTTTCCATTCTAATCTACAATGTTCAATAAAGCAGAACATTTCTCAGCTTTGCATCTGAAGAGATTGAATTTGCTTCCTTTATCTTGGTGTGTAAGTGTGTAAGTATTTTCACCAGTATCACTTACCTCCATGAAAAAAAAAAACTTTCTTTCTGGCCCAGTAGGTAGCTGTGCCTCATCCAAGGGTGCCTAGTACGAAACAGCCCTCTCTGTTTCAGCATGCATCTACGTTTCTTTAAGTAAAGCTAAGTTGGACAAAGATGCCAGAAGCCTGGCTTATTTAAAGGACACTCGGGTGTGAGTATCAGTAGGAAATGTGTGATAGAATGCTTTAATTTAGGTGAGGCCTTCATGGGACTGTTTTTGTGAGGGGGAGTTTTAAAGCTATAGTGCCTGCCTGACAGTCTCTCTCTGCATCTGTTGGCTCTCAGGACACCCTGCGGCAGAAGGATAACCGCATCGAGGAGCTGGAAGAAGCCCTAAGGGAGAGTGTGCAGATCACGGCTGAACGTGAGATGGTGTTGGCGCAGGAAGAGGCCGCCCGCTCACACGCCGAGAAGCAGGTGGGTACCTCATCTCTTAGTTGCCCCTGTCTGGAAAGCTGCCTGTCTGCGTACTCTTTGGAAAAGGTTAGTCCACAGTGAGAGTGAAGTACGCTATGTGACCTAGGAGGAGGCTTTCTGCTGTGTGTGCAGCTTACTAAAGCTGTGAAATTCCAACATTACGTTGGGATATTATTCCATCTCACTTCTGTGACATATTGTTCCATATATTCCATACTGTGGGATCATTCTGTATCATTTCTGGGGGGTTGCTGTTTATTGAGTTTCACCCAGAAAGAAATCAAAGTGTTAATATGTTTGGAAATGATCTTGCACAATGGGTTTAATGGTCCTCTTTGAGTTTGACTCAAAGGGTATTTTAAAGATGGTCACTGAAGAGATCGCCCACCCACTCCACCTACTGGGGCTGTCTTTCACTATGTCTTAAAAATTCAGTCATAGCTGCTAAAGAAGTGGGACAGGGCCTCAAAAACATGTGGCTGTATTTATCTGTGATCAATATGCCAGCATGTCATTTTCCCTGTTTTCAGTGAGGCCTGACTGTAGTCAGAATTGGAGAAAACCAGCCCATTGCTCTTTACTTGTTCCACTCTGTCAATCCATTTATTCATACCCCAATGGCACTGTTTCACAATATCTAGTGACCTTTAAAAATGTAGAAATACTGTATCTAACCATGCATAAAGTACACTGTTGATCTAGTTAATCATAATCCTTCATACTGCTTCTTTTTAATGGAGAATTAACTGGAAGCACTGTCAGGTAGTTGATTACATTCTTATCTCTAAGCTGGCAGCCTCATTTACAGTACATATACAAAAGGTCCAAAATGCTTATATACCGTACTGTATGAGGTAGTGATAAGGATCATCAAGGTACATGATATTTGGCAAACTGGACATATTCATACATTTAGTTTAATATAAAATCTACACTTGATCACATGTATGTGTAATAAGAATAAACGTATGCATGCTTCTGTGTGTTCTGTTTTCATTAAACATGATAGAATACAACTGCAACTGAAGGGAATCCACACATTAATCTGTATCTAAACCTACAGTAATTACCTTCCATAAACTATTGTTCCTTAGTTTCACATCCATGGTAAGAACTTAGTTTTGGGGGATCTGAGTCTAAAACAAGAAAACTTTCTAAACAGCTTTGTTAAATTGATATGGGTGTCAGTCAATGTAGGCTATTTGACACCTGATTTTATTTAGGTCCGTTATGAGTTAGAAACACTTTATTTAGGATTTACAAAATTCATGACATGGCTGGATTTTGTCACCCTGTTTTCAACATTGATCTACTGAGAGATCACCTTGTCTATCATGCTCTGGACCTGACAGGCTGCCTGGATGCCCTCCCATTTTTGACAAGGTTAAAGTATTTTAAGTTTCCTCTTGAGATTAATTATTGAGACCAATTTACTTTTACTTTATGTATTGAAGCCAATAGCAGTGTAAAGATCTTAAGTTTACAATAGACTCAAAGGGGAGACATGAATGCCTCAGTCTCCTTTAGAACTAGGTCACATTCGTGCTACCTCTGTGTTCTGTTTAACTTCAAAAACAGCAGGCTTAAGTGAATTCTTTTACCATTCACTTAGAATTAGTAACACCAGTTAAAGTAAGTTAGGCCAGAACTACTGTTAAATAAGGACCTAAGAAACATATGTAAAGGTAATTTAGAATAGCTTAGGGATTTCATACAAAAGTTTAAGAGCACAGGTGAAGACAGAAGTGCTTGTTTGCCTTTCAGTTACTTCTAGTATACTAAGGCTCCTCTGTTCTGTTTGAGTCTTTCTCACCTTTTTTAAAACAACACACTAAGCACTGCCAACGCTAAAATGTTTGTGTACAGTATATGATTATTTTGTAAGATAGTGATGTTACCTATGAAGAAGTGCCATTGCCAAGTTCCAACTGAAAGTGAGAAAAGTTTCCTTTATCAATGGAAACTTCCAGCCATGACGTATTGTGAGAAAATGCCAAAGATTGCAAAGAACCTATGACATGTGTACAGCACACCTCTCAGAAATGAACTACATTTTTCCACTGCCTGCCACAATGAGTATTAATCTACTCTTTCTTTCTAAAGAGCTGTCTCAGCCTTAAAGTACTGCTTCTGTTTTATTTTAATACATTAAGTCTTATACATGTTCTGCACATTGTGGCTCCCCCTTTTTCTTTCAACTGCTGCTTTAAAGAGTTGTGGGATCTTCCAAAATGCCAGTGACAAAATAATGGATGCAATCTTTTGCTGCACAGGTTTTGTTCTTTCTGTAAACAGGTACTGCAATTGGCTCACTTGCTTGGCCCTGATTCGGCAACTGTAAACTTGAGTAGTAATGACTTTTCCTCAATTTACAGGAACCAAAGTTACAACATCAACCTTTGTTTGTGATCTGGCAAATCTCTGTTAAGCCATACTGGAAGGAGCTAAAAATGTAGACATACTGTATCGGAGTTAATCATTTCCAACAATGTACTTTGTCTGGGGAGCTGTGGTATTTGTTGTTTAGATCCATTATTAGTCCATACGGTGGTGTGAAAAGGTTAGTAAACCCCATGAAAATGTTTGTCTTTTTTTACATTTTTGGTCAAAAGTATATTTGATTGTCATTTCAACAATACTGATAGATAAAGGTGATCAAATTTTAAAAAATAACATTGAAAAATTACATTTTGCGTTCACTTGTACTATTTAAATCACAGAAATCTAATTTCCTTGTGCAGAAAAAGTTAGTACACCCCTTCCTGTATCATACACCTAAAATTAGAATCAGGTGCACCAAAACAGGTGCAAATGATTAGAACATCATTAGAGAGTAACTTAGAGGACACTGCCTTCTATAAATATCAGAAACCTGTGGTCTTAGTTTGGTCTTAGTGTGACTACATCATGCCAAGATCAAAAGAGGTCTCTGAGGTCCTCAGAAGAAAGATTGTTGATACCTATGAGTCTGGGAAGGGTTTTAAAGCCATTTCCAAGCAATTTGTCTATCACTCCACTGTAGATGTCTGAAAGATCATCTACAAATCGAGTAAATTTCAAGCCACTGGCAATCAATCCAGATCAGGTCATCCCACCAAATTCAGCCCCGGAGCTGACCGAAAGATGCTGCAGGAAGTCTCCAAGAACCCCAGGATAACATCAGGGGATTTACAGCCAAGTCTTGCCTCAGTCAATGTCAAGGTACATGAGTCAACCATCCGAAAGAGACTGCACAACTTTGCCCTACATGCGAGGTCAGGAAGGATGAAGCCTCTGCTCTCAAAAAAGAATATACAGTAGATACACGACTGAAGTTTGCCAGACAACACCTAGGTGTTGATCAGGACTGTTGGAATAATGTGCTCTGGACGGATGAGACAAAGGTAGAGCTGTTTTGCCACAATGCCAGACGTCTGCCTTTGACCAAAAGAACCTCAACTGTAAAGCATGGTGGTGGAAACATTATGGTTTGGGGCTGCTTTTCTGCCTCAGGGCCTGGCCAGTGTACCATCATAGAGTCAACCATGAATTCCACATTGTACCAGAGAGTACTTGAGGAGAATGTGAGGCCATCTGTCAAAAAGCTGAAGCTGAACTGTAAGTGGACCTTGCAACAAGACAATGACCCAAAACACTCAAGCAAGACCACAAAAGAATGACTCAAAAAGAAGAAATGTAATGTTATGGAATTGCCAAGTCAAACCCCAGATCTTAACCCCCTAGAAATGCTGTGGGGGGACTTGAAGCAGGCAGTAAATGCAAGAATGCCCTCAAACATCTTACAGTTGAAGGGGTTCTGTCAGGAAGAGTGGGCAGAAATTTCTCCAAGTCGATGTAGGCGACTGATAGACAATAACAAGAAACGCCTACAAGAAGTGGTTTCTGCCAAAGGGGGAACACCAGCAATTGAAGCTAGGGGGTGTGTATTTATTTTTTCCACATTGAATAAATGGTTGCAAAGAATAATTTTCATTGTTATTTGTTAAATTAGATCACCTTTATCTATCAGTATTGTTGAAATGAAGATCAAATATCCATGCATGCACATATGTTGAAAAACACACACCTTTTCATGGGTTGTACTTACTTTTGCACTGTACTGTATATGTTTCTGCTTTTATTTTAAAGTTGACCACTTTTTGTTGTGATTACATATGACACATTTAGTTCTAATATTAATCTTTATGTGGACTGTTGCCATTATGTAATTGCTGTATATCAAGCTACAAAAAATGCCCAGCAATTTCAAATCAAATTAAATGAATTAAAATATGCACATTTGTTCAATATGAATATTTTAATCAAAACTAGAATGCTCAAAATTAGCTCTTTCATGGGTGAAAGAAGTTAAATGTCAGCAAAAAATGCTAAGATAAACCAAAAACTAAAATATGGTGATTGCATAAGTATTCAATATCTTTGAGTCAATACTTGGGTGGAAGCACCTTTGGCAGCAGTTACAGATTCAAGTCTTTTGGATAGTCCCTGCCAACTTGGAGTGGTGCAATTTTCTGTCATTCTTTTTTGAAAACTTGCTCAAGGTCTGTCAGGGTGGTTGGGCATCATTCACAGGATGATGTGATTGATCATTCACAGGTGCTAGTCTCGCTGCATTGTTTGTCAGATTCAGGTCAGAATTTTAACTGGGTTACTCAAGGAAAAATAATTCCTTGTTAAGTCACTTTAGTGTATCTTTGGCCTTGTTCTTTTGGTCATTGTCCTGCTGAAAGGTGACTTTTAAGCATTTAGTAGACTGAAGTAGCTTTTCCACTAGAATTTTCCTGTACTTTGCTCCATCCATTTTTCCTTCAAACTTGACAAACTTCCCAGTCCTGGCTGATGAGACACAGCCCTGTAGCATAATGTTTCTAACACCGTGCTTTACAGTAAAGATGGTATTGACTGGGTAGTGCACTGTTTTGAGTTTGCACCAGACATAACGCTTTGCATTTAGACTTAAAGTTTCCAATTTTGTCTTGTCTGACCACATGTTTGCAGCAATCGCTGAAATGTTTTGTTGCAAACTCTATGCATGATTCAAGATAGATTTTTTTTCAGTAATTGCTTCCTTCTTGCCACTCTGTAATAGAGTCCAGCATTATGGAATGACCAGTGTATTGTTGACTCAGACATTTTCTCCTATCTCAGCCAGTTAACTCTTACAAATTTTCTTTTGACATAGTGGTGGTATCCCTAACCAGTTGTCTGCTTGTCTGGGTACTCAGTTTGAAAGGACAGTCTGGTATAGAGAATGTCTGATTGGTGTGATATACTTTCCACTTCTTAATGTGTGACTTCATAATGTTTAAAGTGATATTCAGTGTCTGAAAAGTTTTATACCCTTATCCAGATTTGATCAAACATGGTTACTGTACCTCACACAGACACAGACATTCTACTAATTGTGGGACTTACACACCTAATTTAGGTTTCACGTAAAACCTAAGGGAGTTAATATTTATGTAGTCATCATATTTCAGTTTTGATTTTTACTGACTTTTACAGGTACCTATAAATGTGTTCAGTTTGAACACTCAAGCTTCCATTAAAAATATTTGCACAAAAATGTGTGGATTATATTTAATTTATAATTCAACAACATAGGGGAAGGAATGAATACTCTTGCAAGGCAATTCATGTATTCCTAAAGGGTTTTTTAGAACAAGTATTTAAAAAAAACGATTTATATTTATATTCTGTGAAATTTGTAATTGATCACGTGTCATTCTACTTTGTATACTAGTTGCATGAGATTATATCAGTGCAAAGACTCAAAATATGTCTTTGAATGTCAGCGTAATGATTGAAGTTTAGGTTATCTTGTGTGTTTTGTTGTAACCCTAATAGTTTGCCCCAGGTTAAAAAAAACAATCATTTTTGGGGAAAAGTGATTCAGCAAATATTAACCTTTTTAATGAGAATGAGGTTTTTTTTTTTGGAAGCAATGCGTTATAATGCATTTTGAAAATATTACTATACAAGAACTCTGCTGTCACCTGTTGGGGTACGCAGCTCTTTTCCACACGCTTACATTAGTGATGAAGCGACATATCTGAAAATAAGGATTTAGTCTGGCTGACAGTTTAACTGAAACCCTGTCAGAATTGTTTGTCGCAAGCATGTCTTTATCTTGTGCATCTGCAACGAGAGAGCCATTTCCTATAAGATTTATTGTATGTGAACTGACCACTATGGCCAGGGGGGAGAGAGACATTTCTGGAAAGGGGCGTTTGTAAATCATGACAAAATGGAAAACCTCTGGCAGGTCATAATTCAGAATTATGCAAGCATCAGTTGCAAGACTGGAATGAGAATAAAACCAGGAAGAAAAATCTTATTTAAAATACTATTTTTTTAAAGTAACAAAATCTGTTCCTGCTTAAGATGATAAGACATGATACTAAACCTATTTGAAAGTGACATTTCTCCATGTAAAAAAAATAACTATAAACTGGGTTAGGACATACAACGTTTTGACATTGTTTAAACTAAATACTAATTACACAAAATAATTAATTTTTTAATGTGCAATGACCTATCAATTTGATGTTGGTTTGTGCCATATAAAATATTACATAACGCTAGTGCGCTTTTTGCAAGTCTTACACTACTTTTTTGTAAAAGAGATGCTGCAAATGCTGTTCTTTGACACAGTGACTTCCGTGGAGTTGCAGACATCAATATCAGCACCCTGAATCTTAAATGAGGTACTCCACTACAATGTCTTGTTTACCATTTTTTTAATGGAAATAATTCAGAGTAAACTTTGGAAATCTAGCATTGACAGACAACTGTAGGTTCATAATATTTAATACACTTAAGTTAGATTGTCATGAAGAGTTGCCTGATGGCTCGGGGGTCCAGAGTTTAATTCTGGCTCGAGGCACCTGTCTTTAGTGTGGATTGCATGTTCTTTCCATGTTTTCCAATCTCCATAAACATGTGGATTGCCCTTTACTCCATATCCCTGTCCTATCTGGGGCGCAGCAATCAAATGCTTTGACTCCAATCTTGTGCCCTGTGTTCTCAGGATAACCTCCAGTTTACCATAATCCTCACCAGGATCACCAGTGGATGGTTAATTCATTATTCTTAATTCTTAATATTATTAAGTAATTATTCTTATTTTGGAGACAGGGTGCCAGTACTTATTTCATAACCCACTGCACCAAGGAACCTTTTCAAGTCTCACAAAAAAAAAAAGCCATGAGAGAATATCTACTATCTCCTCTCCTCTCCCCATACTCTCTCTGCTTGAAACGTCTCATCTTGATGATAAAACCTGAATGTTGCAATTTGCATTACTGGTAACCTGTTTAATCCTAGTCTCTGCTTCTAAATTTCTTTTGCAGTTGTGTTTTTTTCCAGTTTCTATTTTGTTTCTTTCACATTAGTTTTTATATAATTTTCTTCTCTATTTCTTGTCTGTCACCTTTCTGCTACTCACTGCCTGTCTGAAGCAATTATATGAGCCAATGCATGACTCCAACCACGCTGGCTTTAAGTGGTTCAAGGTATGATATGAATAATCCTTGTAGTTCTTCTGTTCATTTATGATTTTTGGTGACTTGCTCTCATTTAAATCTTGTGTTTATCTGTGGTTTTGTCTTTTGTTTTGTAACACTTTTGAGTTTGGTTTTTGTGGTGTGGAATCCATTGTGTCATTTTTTTTTAAACAATTACACTTTTTGTCAATGGAAGGCTGACAAAGCTGGTGGAATGATAAGCCAAAAGTAATATGCTCAAATATTATCTCTGAGAGTAATCAGCTTTTTTTCTGACCCAATAGGTCACCTGTTCAGTCATTTCCTAGGGAAACTTCAGTATTAAGTAAACAAAATAGCCCTGAGAAGGTCACTCCAGTCCTAGAAACACTGGATGTCCTCAGAGACTTTTGTCATCTAGATACAAAATGAAGTTTTTTGTGGTGTGTATAGTCAACACTTACTAAACTGTAATATCAAACTGAGACCCTCAGTTTTGTTTTTAATATGTTGGAATTGTTTGAATTGATGACTTGGCCAGTAATTCTGGTCATACAAACTAAATTATTGTTTTACTAACTGCAACTGAATGAACAAACCAGCCTACAATTTAAAATGAGCATGTAATTGAAAAAAACTAATCTCTGCTCGTAAGTATCTGCAGCAGTTTACATTTGGAAAGCTTGAGTGAAGCTACAGTATGCTTGTAAGTTCTTTAAGGTTATATAGCAATCTGGTGGAAAGGGGGTACAAACAGCTACAGTTTTTCAAACTTTTGATCTTAATAACACTCATGATTTAATTAAGTCATCCTCAATCCAATCATTCTGTATTTCTCAAGGGCATGCTGCAGGCATGTTAAGCACATAAAAATGTGGTAGAGGGCAACCCCAGATTTGTCCGTTTTTCATTACCACGGCTGTCATGTGGGCATGACTGATGAAATCAGTTAATTGGTGATCATTTCAGTTAAAAATATAGAATTGAAATTTTACAAATGCAGCCTGTTTGATCTATTCATTCAGCCTCCACAGTTTGCTATTTAAATCACGCTTATTGAAATATTAGCATGTTAATTGATCTCATTTATGCCTCGCCAGCAGACATTGGTTGTTATAACAATGTATTCACTTCCACATTAATTGCACTAACTGGAAATTCGTATGGGAAAACTTTCACAGCAGTGAGAATAGGTCCTCCTAGACTATGCCCAGAATGTTTTTCACCATACCTGGCTTCATGAAGAGTAGAATGGTTTGTAAGATCTTAATTAAATAAAGAACCACAGAAGTGACTTTGGTTAACATAGACATGCATTTTCACTGTTGAAAGTTCAAGATGTTATAAAGGGAAAGCAATTTTATTTTCTCTTTATAGTTTTTCCAAATGCTTCACAATTTGAAATTCATTTTTAATAAGTGCAGGCTTAAAAAAAGCACCCCTTACCTGCAAAAATGGTAAAGCTGCATTTAGATGGCAAAGGATAATTGCAAGAAATGTTTTATTAAAACTAAAGCAAAATGCACAGTAAACCTGAATGACAGCAGAATAAACAAATTAGCCTACTGTACAATGTAACAGATATATATGCATATATTTTTTTAAATATGTGACCTTTTATACCTTTTTTAAAAGACATCAGAAAGACACAGGTATGGGGACGTTGCGAAATTGTGCATTGTCCTGTGGGGCCGTGAACCTTTCACCATGACCTGTGATAAATTAAGTTGAAATGACCTTACAGGTCAGATAAAGAATCTGTTAGAAAATCTTGCTTCTGGGAGAGCATATCATAACTGCTTCATATCTCAACACTCTTTAGTAAGGACCATACACTGGAGACTTCAACAATCACTGCCTGCCTTTTATAAAAGGAAGGTGTTAATGTACTTCGAAATAAATTATATAGCTAAAGGCTTCTACACCCAATAGCCTTGTCAGAGCCGGCTTTAAAATTTGCCTTCAGAAAGGGTCTGTTTTTTGGCAGTTAATTTTTAACCAAAAACCAAAAAAAAAGAGAAAACAATCTGCTGTTTCATAAAATATATTTATTGGACTTCTGTTTTGACCACAAAAGCTTTCGATAATCCTAGCTTTTCTGAAAGAGTAGAATAAGACACGTTTATGAGGCTAGTGAAGTGAAACCTGTGGGAAGGAAAAGTCAAGATCTGGCAAAATGTGCCTTGAAAGCGGCCTGACATGTAGGGTTCTTACATCAATGGCCGGAGCTTCCTGGTTGAATAATAAAATTCTCAGATTTCTGGGAGAATCCATCTCAGACTTCACCACCATCGCTTTTGGAAAAATATGGCTTGCTGTGTACTGTTGCTTGCATTTTTGTGTGCTTACCATCTTCTCTTCTTTTTCTCTTTCCGTTTCTGCATTTGTAGCGTAAGGAGGCAAGTATCTGTAGACCAAAAGACAACTCTGCTTTACCCTTTTTTTGTCAAAATCAACTTTTCAGGTTGATTTTGTATCTTCTTTTCCTACTTAGTTGCTTCCAGTTTTTTTCCCTCCAGTTCTCCAGAGGAGAATCTGGTATGTCGCCTGTGAAAACACTGAAGGCATCTTTGCACCATGCGCATTGAGTTTGCTGCAGTATGAACATACTGTAAGAACAAGTTACAAACAGGAGGAGGTCTCTCAACCCATCTAGCTTGATAGTAGCTATTTTTTTGTAAAGTTTGTATTTATTCTTTTCTTTGTGAAAGAGAAGCCAGAATATCAGCTTTGACAGCATGGCTTGGTGTCTTGTTCCATATCTCCAAACCCTTAGATTAAAAAAGTACTCCCTGTTCTCAGTCATTCCCCATAATTTCCTTTGTGTCATGTGGTCCCTGATTTACTGTTGTTTCTGGAGTCCATAGATTTAATTTGATCAATCTCTTTGAGGATGTTTTATACTTGGATCATAGTCTGCTTTGTTTCAGACTAAAAATATTGCTGTTGTGGAAACAGTGAAAAAATCATATGACAAATCCATTCCCTAAACATGTTAAATACAATCATCTTTTTGTTTGAATGAGAGTAGGCTTTGAGAATATTTGACTGTAACAAGCCAAATTCTATAAGCTGGTGAAGTCATCCCCAAAAGCATTAATTGAACTGAACACAGGATCAGCACGTGGAAATTGTTGTTCAAAAAGGTTTTAGGTTGAGGAACAAGCTACTAAGTTCCATTTGATTCTCAACTCTTGAATAAAAACTTTAAACAGACAGAATGACAGGAATTTCTAAAATGGAACAACCACTGAATTCTTAGTTCCTATAACATTTGTCTTACCTGATGACCACCCAAAGGTCAAAGCAAAAGCTACAAGGCAGATGTGAGTACAGCACAAAGAATTCTTTATAACATTAGTATTTATAGCATTGGGAATCCCAGATGGGGAGTAACTGTAAAAACCTGATTACTCAGCTTAATTGCCCATCTTTTTCTGCTCCCTCCCCTCTTCCTCTCAGACCCCCTGCGCACTTCCAGGTAGCCTGCTTGCGATCGGAGTCTTTTAAAGGAAGAACAGCCTTTTCTTCCCAGCCTGACACAGTCCCCCACCGGGCCCAAATAAGTTCCGTACATGTGGTGTTAGTCATGGTGATAAGCACCATAGAAGAAGCTGAACTCCAAGCTGAGACAGAGAAACCAACTTTCCACAACATACTGGATGTATTAGTAACCCACTGAGTACAGCTTGAGGCTAAACTGTTCATTACATTGCAAAGCTCTGCTTTATCCTCCTGAACATCTGTGCATGCGTAGCACAGATAGAGATCTAGGTAGACTTTTAAGTAGGTGTTACCAATTGTGTTTGTGTGAGGCCTTTGGAGAGAATCCAGGAGGTAAAAAAATAACCTCCTGCACACTTTTTTTATAGAGAATGTTTTAACATATTTGTTTGTCCCCATTCAATGTTATGATGGCAGTTGTTTGTAGGAATCAACATACAGAACATAACAGATAAAATGAACCTCTTTGTCCTTTTGCTTTCGATACAAAGATCCAAAGCTTCAATCACAACAGTACAGACAGCCATTTAGTGTTCTTCTGGTTCAGTGCCAAAGCACTTTTAGATCTTGGTAACTGACTGCATAGAATGGAAAGAATGGAAGAGCTGGGAAAAATACAGTACAATGGTAATTTACGTTTTTTTTTTTTAAAACAGAGTCTTACTGTCAGGTGGTATTGGGAATCCATCAAAGCCAGAAGGAAAGTAAGAGGAAATGACGTCCTAGACATGTTCTTGCAGAAAGGCTGTTGCAGACGCAGAAATGTCGTCAAAGCTGACTTCTGTAATAATCTGATCCTTCATCGAAATGCAGGGCTGAAGGAGGTGACCAGGAGTACACGCAGTTAGACCAGGATGGAGGATGTTGCCCACGAGAGGGAATGAGAAAGACATGTGCCAGGACCACTGAATCGTTATTTTTCCAATATAAAACAGAAAAAATTCACTGGCGTCCATCTATCCGCATTATAACTGCGGGAGGGGGAGGGCAGAGTCTAACCAGGCTAGCTATGGGCATATGGCAGGATACACTGTCGACAGCAAACACAAACACAAACACATGCACTCACACCAGGGACAAATTTCCCAGAATCCAACCGGATCCAATCCAGAATCCAACGTTCCAGTATGTCTTTTTACTCTGGGAGGAACCTGATGCCCCCAGCAAAAACCCACATAAACAGAGGGAGACTATACAAACTGCACGTAGATAGAAGCCAGGGAATTGAAGCTCCAGACAGAGCCCCAGCCCTACAAGGCAGTACTGCTAACCACTGTGCCACTGTGCTGACCTCACTGGCTTGTGTGCAATTATTAGAAGTAGAGACAGATGATGAATTGCCAGTTAGTTACTGGTATAATAAAATTAAATTTAATAGATCAACATATACAGTAGATGTTTGGACTATGCTGGCCTATGACATTTCTTATAGGTTAGGTGTAGTGCCTGTACCTGGAGCGCTTGTCTCATTCAGATTCAGTGCACTGACACAGATGTTCAGGACAGAGCACAATTTGAGGTGTTTTATGTGAGAACAGTACTTCCCAAACTGTGTCTCTGCACAATGAAGTGAATGGATTGTTTTCAGGTGTGTCAAAGAATCAGAAGGATGTATGTGTGTGTTTTATGGACTGTAGGTTCGTTAAAACAAGTCACATTTATAAAAAATTCTAGTGCAAAAAGTCAGATTTGTTGCGTTTAAGTTATGGTTTGTTTCTATTGGAAGCAAATACATTTTATGTCTCGCAATATTAGTGCTGATTATTATAAAGTCATTTGGTGTGTTGTGAAATATTTGAAATGTTAAAAGTATCCCACGAACTGAAATACAAGAAGCACTGGTCAAGAACTCATGACTGTACAGTAAATGACTCATTTAAGACCCAGTGTGCTAATGAGAGAACATCAGAGGTCAACTACACCTCTTTCAAGCCCTTCCAGCATGTGACAGACAAGCACAATGGCAGCTAGATTGTAGAAATGAAAGTGCATGTTATTATAATTTTGACAATTGGGAAATTCTCCAAATCAATCTGAGATGTTTTGTCTTCATTATATATTTTTAATATAGTAAATGTCAGCGTGTTTGTACATTCTGAAAATGGAAAGGTTGGTTAGAAAATGATGTTACATAATTCTGTTGAACTGCACAGAAGTGGAGGTTCTGTACTTCTGAGTGGCTTTAGTCTGCATTTGCTGCTGGGCAAATCAATTTAAAGATGAAGAGTGGTGAATTGTCTGGACAAGGGTTGGTCTAAATTGCCTGAGAAGTGCAATTGCAATATAATAAAAAATACAAATATATAGTTTTGCAAAGAGGAGCACAATCTAAATTTGAAGGGCACTCCGATATCTTCAAGGAGATTTTGAACTGTGACTTTTTCAAACCTCTGCCTGAGAGTTTATCGTCTGTATTTGTATTCTTCCTGAAGACAACAGAATCTAATAATAGGGAACAGACCTATTTAATAGCTGACAACTTGGCACACTGTGATTCTACAGGGGAGATAGCTGAGACTCCCTTTGTGAAGAAAGATTTGTCTTCGAGGCATGCAGTGGTGAGTCTTCTTACTGTATGTAACATTCCATTTTTTTAATGATTGGAATTCATAGATCTAGGCAGAGGGGACGAGAATAAGTGATGTCTTACTATTTTGTTGCAGTGAGTGTGTGCTGTAGAGCACTTATGCGGAAGAGTGTGTGATGGATAAGAGTAAATACTATATGTCTGGCTCTCTTGTAACACATCAAGGGTAGGCAACAAACACGAATGAGGATGACAAAAACAGGTGAAATTGCATTAAAAGAACCTACAGTATATCGCCTTCCTCTGTTTTTACATTGCTTTCCATGCTCAGTCCTGTCATATACACTGTTAGCTCTTAGTTTAGATTAAACTGGCTGTTTATAGTTGTAAGTGAAAAGAGCATTGGAGATAAAGATTGACATGAATTGTGTGGATACTGTCTACAAATCCTTTATGATGCCACAGCACAGGGTTGCAGGGAGAATGATGGCTGTATCCCAGCAAGGTTATCTCACGTTCTTTGTAATTTTAGAACTTCCCTTGAGCTTTCTGATCAGTGTTGTGCTCCTGCTTTAGGATGCTCTCTACTTCTCTCATTGCAACCATTTGAGCCCAATGTGAGCTTCAGGCCTTTTTAAATTGCCTGCATTCAGAAGAGGAGTCTGTTTACCTGCTAGGATGCCTAGTTGTTTTTAAAAATTCAATCTACCCAATTTCACCAGTGGTGGGATGGCAATGATGAAATTGTCAAGTGATAACTGTGACTTTGTTTTGTGTCTGCTTTCAGAACCGCCTTCTGTGTCAGTCTTCCAGAAGAGAATTTGGTAGTTCTGATGTTCTCCTATTTCAATTAACAAAATTTGGACCTACTGTACTGCCCTCAACCTTGTGACCATGTGGATTTCATTCCACTAAAATATATTTATTTAATTAGTTACTACGCATAGTTTTGGGAGTAAAAACCAATGCATTGCAGTAAAATAGATAATTACCCTTACTCTCTTTCTCCCTCAACTATTTATAGTTAAAAAGTTATTTCTGCTTCATTCAAGCAATTTGTGGTCATAGGATTAATAGGAATAAGTATGATAGACATTTGATCATATTTGAGCAGAAGCATACTGTTACTTGTGTTCAGCCAGGGATTTCAAGTGACCATAAGTATTGAAGAATTTTGACATAAGAAGACAGAATGTTTCTGTAAACTTCAGAATTAATTCTGATGTTGCCATCAGTTTTTGTATCATCAATAGAGATGACTGTTACAATTCTGGAGGTGGCCTTTCTATGCCCAAGCAAGGCAATGCTTCACAGATGAAGTAATGTTCTTGTGAGCATCTGCAGTTCATTGATTTTGTCACTTTAGGTTTATCTTGGTCCCATCTATCCATAGAACTTTGTTCCAAAACCTTCCTGGCTCATCTTTGTATTTCCAAGCAAATTCTGAATCATGGTGGAGGTAATGTCATGACCTGGGAATTAATGTTCTCCCCTGGAACTGGCTCATTTGTCTATGTTGATGACTTAACTAATGTTGGCAGCAGCACAATGAATTTTACTGAATGGGTGTGCAGAAAAAAATGCCAGCTTATGTAAAAGAAAATGCCTTCATACTTATTAGACAGCACTTCACCATGTAGCGTGACAATGAATCAAAACACATTACCTATGCACTCAAGAAAGTTTTCAGGAGAAAAAAGTGGAAACCGTAGACCGTAGAACTCGATTTAAATCTAGTTGAGTATGCAGTTTGCATACTGCAGAACAAATTAACCAAAAAAAGTATCTGAAAAAATAAGAACACCCTATGCATAAGCAAGAACTCAAAGTGGCTACAGCAAAGCTTTTTAAATACTTTTACATAGAGCATAAGCTCAGTGGGTGGCAGACCTCATGCAGTTATTACCTCTAAGGGATATGCAACCAAATACTGACTTCTGTTCTTTGAAAAGTACTTAAAGTAAATGTGTCCCAATACTTATGGTCACTTAAAATCACTGGTTTGAACACAGAGTACATTTTTGTTCTAATATAATCAAATGAGTGCATAGAACATCTTGAAAGCTAAATTTTAACTGCATTGTATTGCATTGTATTATATATATTAATCTCATGATCACAAATACAAGGTTCTTGACTTTAAAACAAAGATAACACATTTGTCCCCATACATTTGGAAGGCACGTGCAGTACAGTATGTGTACTTTATTTGGAATCTGGTGCAACCTCCAATGAGCATGGAGATGTCTGGAACTCGGCCTTTTCATTAAATTCAGGTTGTTTCGGGACTGAAAACCGCTCCGAGTCCCAGTTTTATGAGACGGGGTTATAGGCCTCAAGAGAACTGCTCGTGCATGTTTCAGCCTCTAGCCATTCCTTTTCTGCAATGTGAGAGTTTCCACAGAGCACTTGGCAAACCACAACACTTGCAGCATATCCAGGTCCCCCTTTCCCTCCCCCCCCCCTTCGTCCCATTAAAATTTATTTTTGTTTAATTTTTATTTTCCTGTGCAGATAAAATATGTTAATACTGGATGACGGATAAAAATGTGAAGCACGCACAGTGGGGTCTCGATAAAAAAAAAAACAGCCCGATGGATTTTGTGTTGTGATTTCAGCTGGACATTCACTTTCTGCACCGTCCAGTTTACTTCAATGTCATAATGTGTCCTTGCTGTGCCCCTCTGAAAGGCTTAACGAACGGCCAACGCTTCCTGTAGCTCTGCTCACCAGAGGCCTTTCCCTGCCGCTCTCTGCTCCAGACCTAATCCCCGTGTGCGCGTCTGTCTGTGTTGCCTCTGCGCAGATGGAAGAGCTGTTGGCGGCCATGGAGAAGGTGAAGCAGGAGCTGGAGTCCATGAAGGCCAAGCTGTCGTCCACGCAGCAGTCCCTGGCAGAGAAGGAGGCCCACCTCACCACGCTGCGAGCCGAACGCAGGAAGCACCTGGAGGAGGTGCTGGAGATGAAGTAAGAAGGGGCCGAACTCGCTTGCTTTATGTGCTGGGATACTTGTTTTTTTAGTAAAGCTCAGTGTAGGAAGATGGAAAAAGCAGCATTTTTTTCTGTCTAGGCATCGCTGCTGAGAGTGAACATTAAAAGTAGATCTCTGGTTGTGCTTTATAATGAGGGTGAAATGGTCTCAACTGGAATGAAAAGGAAAGAATAAGTGAAACAACAATTTGGTAACAAGTTGTTTTATTTTTCCATTCTTTGAAATTTTGTTGTTGTTACAGTATAGTGGATTATTTTTGAAGCACAAGTGACTGTTAAATGTGTTTGAGAGTGTCCTCTCAGTATTGTAATGCAAAATTAATTCTGCTGTATTGGGGTCAGCAGTTTAATGATACATATACTGTAGTGATGCAGATCAGATGTGTTGATATTGTGCAGAATACGGTTTAAAAGTAAACCAATTGAGCAAATACGGTACATCACTATGTACTTTTACAATAAAAACAGCAGAGCAGCGATACAGTGAACAAGTGTTAAGCAGAAGAGAGTGGATTGCAGAACCTACAGGACAGGCACAGATGTGCTGCAGTCAGGATGTTTTTGGAAATGGGTATGACCGCATAAGGACAAGTGATGAGAACCAGAGCCAGATCAAAACATTCCAGTCAGCTTGCAGAGGAAAAGCTGAGAGGATGTTACCAAGAGATTTGAGGACGGAGGTCCAGAGCAAAGCACTGCAGTGTATCCTAGAAGGGTATGGAAGTGCACAGCACAAGAGGAGCACAAGAGAAGTGAGGTGGAGAAAGTTTTAAGCGAGCAGCAGGGTTTGGGGTGAGACGAAGAGCTCAGATGATAAATTCAAGGAGGTCATGTCACAAGAATGTTGGAGGAATACTCGCTGATCAGTTCTAGCTTTTTCAGTGTCAGCTTGGCCACAGAGAGTACCGAGGAGGGTGATAGCTGCATTCACCTAATTGGGCACAGGGGCAATAAATCATTGACTTAGTGTCTACCACGTTTCCTTCATCACATTCCAGCCCTGTTTAACAGTAAAGCCACTTGGCTGAAGAGCAATTACTTTTTGCACTTAAAGTGATATTTAATGTGTCTAGTGGACTCTTTAACCACATTGTAGACTGGTAAGAAGTGCCAGCTTTTTCTAAGAACTGTCATATTGCTATCGGGGCCTTCACTTTGAAGACTAATGCCATCTGAGGAAACACAGTCTGCCAGTAGGGTGGAGACACTTTGACATGCATGGCCATTTAGGGCTGGGAGTTGGACAGCCTACAGTACTTGTGCATTCACATATCCAGTGAAGTGGCATGTGCTCTTTAGACAGTACAGCTCTCTAAAGCTGTACTCCTGAACTTTGAATATTCTAGGAAGTGTATCATCACCTTCAAAGAGTGGTGTCATTCATCAACCTTACACGCTGTGCTTGGTAGAAATTCAGTTCTTACGAAAGGATCTTTGGCTTATCTGTTCTGACCTTTTTACACAGTTTCCATTCAGTGTTTCTGTGAAGCTCACCGGCTCAGCAGCCATCTCTGTATTCTGAAAAGATGATTTGCTCATTCAGATGTGAATTGCCTTTAAATTTGAACCAGATTTGTATGTTTTTGTGGCATGGTAGAAGGAAATGTTGACATGATCCCGACTTGGATGGATAACGTCTTCACAGTAATCTCCCTGCACTCTTAGATATGCTTCTTAGAATGTTTTAGGTGAAACTGTTTCTGGACAGTGCCAGCCTAGGTGAAGCCAGGGATAAATCCACATCTTCAGGAAACAGCTGACTCACATTTTATGCAATATTTCCCCCATTTCCATCTCCTCTTGCTTTTAATTGATTTTATCACAATTTGACCTCCATAAGTTATCATTTTTTTTCACCATAAAATCTCAGATTTGATTATGTTGTGATTGCTAACCATCTCTTTCCTTTGAGGACTTTTTGGTAGTGTGGTGACCAAAGTTGGACACAGTATTCTAAAAGATGTCTTACTTTACACTTCTATGTTTTTTTAGTGTATATCTTGGCATTCTGTTTTGACATAACAATGCATGCCCCCCCCCCTGTACTTCCAGGGTTCTACAGTGTTATGTTCATAGTGTTCCAGTGCTTTGGGGTGATATTGGTCATTGCTGTACTCGACCCGGTTAATTCTAGAATGCCTTACCAGCTTTTTTAAACAAGTTGTGAGTACATTTGATTTGAAAACGATTTGGTGTTGGTCATGCATTTCGGTCATCTAGCTCCTCTAATCATGAGTTTCTATACTCACTCTTCTGCTCATGTTCCTGCCCTGCCTGGGAGTGGGTTGGCAAGGCACTTACCGAGGGGCTTTCAAACTCACGCAAAGTATTTACTCTGTCTGCTATCTATGTCCCATCCTTTCATGAAAGTGTGCATAGAGACAAGGTCATATACTAAGGCATGGTATGGTAGACTGCTCAACTATATACTGCCTTGCATAAGTATTTGTCACGTTTCTACATTTTGTTGCTATTTGAGTTTGCAATCCTGACAATTTCAAATGGGCCTTAATGTTTAGAATCTACATTGTGTACTTCAAAGTGGTAAAGCTAAAAAAGCATGTAATAAATTTAATTTTTAAAAGGAAATGAGAAGATCCAAGTCAGTTCCTAGTCAGCACCAACAGTAAATCAGTTCAGGTGCAAATGAATAGTTTGAAAGTCACACAATTAGTGCAATCTCTGTGTAATGTCCTGCAAATATTCAATATCAATCTTATCAAACTATTAGAATGAGACAACAAATCGTTAATGAAGACCACGAAGCTTTCAAATCAAGAATAAAGTGGTAGCAAGGCACAGATAAGGAGACTGTTACTTAATCATTTGAGTACAGCCAATATTTAGTCCAATATTAAGAATTAGACCCAGACACCGACTAGATCGGGCAACCCTGAAGTTCCTGCCAGGCAAACAGGAACTGGTAAGGGAAGCCTCTGTGAAGCCAGCAGTGACTTTTGAAAGTTTGCCAAAGTTCTTAGTAGAAGTCACTGTAGCAACAGCAACTGTATCATGATATCTAAACATCTGGCCTGTAAAGATGAGTAGGAAAAATAAGTTTTTATTGAAAAAGACACCTCTTCAATCTTGTTTGCCGTAAAAGGGTATAAGAATAAACAACACAAAATTTATTTTTTTACCATAAATGCTAAGTGTTTTTGCCCAAAACACACTTGGCACCATCCCACCTCCCACCTGTCAAGCATGGCAGTGGCAGCAAGATATGAGGATGCTTCTGAGGTTGTCAGGATTGAGGGGAAAATTGATGGCAAAGAGAACAAGTGAATCCCAGAAAACCTTCTGAGGTCGTGCAGTAATCCCAAAATGGGTAGACGATTCACATTTCAGCACAGTAGTCTGAAAAGAAGAGAATAAGAAGAAAATTTATGGCGAGACATGATGATTGCAGTCCATTAATTATCCCCAACAAACCTGTCAGGACTGAGTGATTTTGCCAGGAAGAATGGACAAAATTACACCTTCCTACTGAGCATCAAACTGTAATATTATTGACGAGTGAATACTTTGGTGAGGCACTTTATGATCATCATAATGTGTTCTGAGTCAACAATTGTAGTTGGAACCTTACAAAATTTACAAAAATGCATACTGAGCACTCCGTAACATATTTCAGGTGACAGAGGCAAATCATTGTACAGCACCTTTAAGAGCCATGTGGTTTTTTACTCTCAGAAATATTAATCACTATGGTATATTTGTAATATTGTTTTTGATACATGTGATTTATGATAAAGGGTGAGGTACTGTAAGGATCTCCCAGGACAATGAAATGTGCATTTAACCCATTTGTGGAATCTTTGGTACAGTTTAGGGAAAGCTCAACACAAATCAGGATCCCTGATTTCAGAATAGGATTTTTCTTGAAATGGCTCCAGTTTACCGGCAGCGTCTATCATTTCAATGCAGACTTCTCCTGGATCTGATTTTTTTTGCATGTTTTTTTTTAATGTTATGCTTTAAGGAAGAGATTAGAACAGATAGTGCCTGCCGTGCGGAAGTAAGATAGCAGTCTTATCTTGGATGAATGTTCTTGAATTAATGAAGCATGGGAGCTGGCATAAAAGTCGCTCAGTCCCTTAATACGAAGGAAGCAAAATCCTGCTTAGCACAGAACCTCCTCCAAGAGCTCTAATAAAACCTTGAGGTCTGAAACCCTAAACAGTCAGCCTGTGTATCTGTACAAGTTCAGAAAACCACAAATGTTAAAAATAAAAACTTTTGAAACCAGCTATAAATTTCAAATTGGCCTCGGGGGCTGGGATCAGATTGCTCCTCGGTTGGTCATGATGAGCGTAATGAGGCCTAAGTAAAATAAATAACCTTAGTTTCGTCTGCTAGGGCATTTGGCATAGGAAGGTTTATCAGAATGCTCAAAAAATATCCCATAAAGACAAATATGTTTTGGATCTGTAAGCTGAGTGCATTGACAAAAAGAGTGGCAATCCGGAGAGTTCTTCCAGTGTGAATGCTAGTTCTGCATTTTCTGGTTTATGTTTTACTTAGTCGTTTGTACCATTAAATGCAGGGGGGAATGGAAAATCATCCACCATATTTGACTAGTTTTCCATGATGTATTGCACAGTAAGAAAGATGTTTGTGACACCATACATGGTACCATGTTGTTCAAGTGATATTTGTAATATGTTACTTGATAGCTGCTTCGTGAGCCAACAAAAACGTTGTGCTTTCAGCACTGCAATCTCTGATGATTATTTTATCAGTTCATAATGTATATTAATTTTCAGTGTTTATTTGGTTCTAGTTTATATTTAAAATCCCTTATGAAGCAGTTTACAGTGCTGTTATTGTAGTGATACGCTTAAGTAGCAAAAGGAGTCGAAGTTCTTTTTGTCCAATTTCACTTAAAAAGTTGATACTTGTAACCTATAAGTAAAAGCCTACATACTTATGTGGGAAAGCAATAAAAAATGTAACAAATTCAGCACTCACTTTTC